TCTTTCCCTCCCCCTGCCCATGCAGTAAAACTTTTGCTCTTTGTCTTGACTGACAGGTCAGTATCAGTAGACTGCAACCATCACAGAGGGTTGAGGGCAACAGCCTCCTGAATTCTGCTGTGCAGAGCTGTGGCTTTGGTTGATGAGTCGAAGGAGGCCCTCCCGGCTCTTCGTCTCCTGGCACCTTACGCTTCACAGCCAAGATCCAGCTAACCTTCTGGTTGGAGTAGGGCTATAGAAATCCTCCATGAAGGTGGCCGGAACTGGAGGGGGGTTCCGAACTCTCTACCTAAACCTAGACCTGTGAGGTTCACGTAAGCAGGCCTGTGGGATTCTTGCCCCCCTGTTCGTGCAAAGGAAGGAGTGTGCCTGTATGACATTTCTAGCCAGTCCAGTGAAAAAGTCATTTCCAACATCCAGTACAGTCCTTATAACCAAGTCTCCGGCATGACCTGGAGAGAAGAGATGACAGAAGTGCTTGTAACAGCTGGACAAGAGTTTTCCAGAGAGAGAAGAAACAGACTTCCAAAAAGCCTGAAGCAGGCAGTAGCTGGGATGTTGGAGGGATATAAGAAGTCCAGGCTGGCTGGAATGGGGATGGAAGGGAGAGAAGGCCGGGGGAGGATGCAGGAAGGGATGGAAGGGCCAGGTAGGCCATGCCTTGGAGGTGACAGCAGGAGTTTGCAGTTGATTGTAAAGGAAGAAGGGAAGCACTGGAGGGTCATGAGCCGTGACCGTCACCCAGAATCAGAGATTTCCAAGTGGAGCTGGCTTTGAGTCTTCGATGCAGAGCAGCCAGAACAAGAAACCTCCCACAAACTGCACCTTTGATGAAACTAAGAGATGGAAATAATTCATGCATGTGAGGCTGAGTATACCAGAGCAAGGACAGGAAGCCATAGCAATGAGGTGGCTGCAGGGGAAAGGGTGGGGCACGTGACCTCTCCTAACGGTGGAAAACCCCAAATTGGAAGCCAGTATTCACGGCAAGAAGGAGAAGG